CTATATCAACACTGCTATCAGTACTTATAGGAGATAATATTCATGTATATACACACAACATCCTTTGTTGGTGTGGCTGACCCTGATAAGACGTGAGCCCTTCAGTAATCGATAAAGGGTGTCCTGTGTCTTTAAGACGGCGCTCAGGGTGGACCCAGCGTCCGTGTTTGACGCTCAGGAAGTGGATTAAACCACCAAAGATTCCCGCAGATTCGTTACCGTTTGTCCCCAATGCTACCAAACGTGCTCCCGCTGACCTAACAAAAAAAAAAAAAAAAAAAACCCGTGTTTGAACACTTTCGTGGGATACTTGGGCCGATAATGCTGGATGGTTACGCTCATGAAATTCACCAGAGACATATGCAGGCTGTTGGGACTCGGGAGCGGTAAGAAACGTCCCACTTTTCAAAAACTTTCTCAACGAGCCACAAGTCCGATTGAAAGTGATAATGAAACGCGTGTGACAATGAAACTCTGGATAATAGCTAACGTGCGGTTTGTTTAGCGGCGTATTGGTGATGGGCTTCGGCTGTTGTCTTTTTTTTTTTTGTCGTGAAGATTAAACCGAGTTCGTGGTCAAACAATAAGAGTTCCCCTCCTGCTTGCTACACCCTTTGCTTGCGCTACTTTCCAAGTTCTCGCGCAGGAGGTACCATAAAGTTGTCGTAGTGGCCGAAACTTCCGTATTTACACATTCGTAAAGCAAACTGTGGGACCTCACACGTCTAAGTATGCCATGTATGTGCCATATAAAGCATGAGGTGTGCCCTACAGGCCCGAACTAATATACGTACATTCCCTGGTGTGTGTTGGTATGATAACAATGCTTCAAATAGGTGGCAAAAAACAGCCCTGTAGCCCAGAATAAGCTCAACCGGAGTCATACATCATCTCGTTATACGCTTTTAAATGGGTCATGTGCCCACACTTTGTTCCTCTTCTTGGTTTTGTGTGTGTTAAATGTCCTGGTGTTAGAGGCTGTAGAGCAGGTTCACATATGAGCTATAAATCACACTACAGGAAGCTGAGTGTGCTGAAAGACATGTTCTGATCAGCTATACATGGTCATTATATAGTAATGACCATGTATAATGTTAATATATTGCCTTTTGAAGTGTCACATTTTTCCACACAGATAGGATCAGAATAACTTGAAGCAAAGAGCAGGCGACCTTGTTTTTGTTTTGTTTGTGTGAAGAAGGTTCCCTATGTCATGTAAACGTTGTAAACAACACGCCTGGCCTTGCAGCCGTGTACTTTGTTGTAGGAGAACATGCGATTCGCAGAGCATGTTGCCATTTTAATGCTGTGTAAACACCTGTATCTACAGACAGTTTACACAATCACTCCAAACCACTGTATGATTTAACCCCCGATTGTCTTAATGATAAGGTTACGTTTCTCGCCTTGTGTCTCCCTCTCACTGTCTGTAATGCTGCTTTGAACAACAGTAAAAGAAGAAGAAAAAAAAAGAGCAGTGAAGCTGATTTCCTGGTTAAAGCTCCAGTCCACGATGATACACTGTTATTTTGCATTCCTGTGGAAAGAGCTCACCTTTCAACTCAACGCTAATTTAGAAAGTTTCCTTCAAGAGAAGAAACAGAGAGTCTTTTGTTGCTTCTGTACACCGATCTTGTATCATTTATGCGCGAGGAGGACATTCCATTATAGTAAAGTTTTAACAAAAAGCCTGATTCAGCTGAAAGGATGGAGCTGCTTAGCAGCGGTGGTTTCTTGACATTTGAGCAGTGAGCCAGAGATGGACAGCTGAAATTCCTTGCACTCTGTGAGTATGTTTGGAGACGCATTGCAACGGTAGACTCTTTACCAAAGCCAGTGAGGCTTAGTGTAATAGATGCAAAAATAAAAAAAGTGTTGGAACGTACATGGATGGATGGTTTTTGTCAGCAGGGTTGGATAGTGTTGTTTTCTCTCATATTAAGTACGTTCATCTTTACTGTCTAAAATATTAGGAGGAGTCCCAGCACCGATGAGAATATACATATAGAAAAAGAATGACATGTACTTGCTTTCATTTTCAAGATATGTCGTATGCCGTACACACAGCCTGTGCTTCAGGAGCAAAATTGCACCGAACTCTCCCATCAGTGCTTCACGAGTCACAACATGAGTCACAGACCAAGTATGGATTTGTCACTCTCTGGAAATCTTTGCTGAACAAATGGAAATCTGACACCACACAGATTCCCGTATGGTCCAGGGCTTTGCAGTGACTGCTGCCGTCAGGCCTAACCCAACTACGGGGTTTCGGTTTGATGTAATTTATGCACCCCAAAAACACACACACACATATCCCACATTCAGGGCTGTGGCTGTTTTCAGGTGTCATTTTCAACCCAGCTTCTGAGAAGAGGTGCTCTTAGACAACGGCGCTTGGTGTATGTTACACGTTGGTGGTTGCCGCCGTGGTAAAGTTAAGGGTAAACATGTTTCTCTCGTAAGACCAAAAAGAAACTACGTGAACCAGTCTCACTGAGCAGTTTTTTTTTTGTTCCATGCACATTTTTGTGTTGTGTTGAGCTTTTGCTGGCTCTTCTTATGAGAAAGCATTACATAATGTTTCCTGTCTCCACCCAGTCTTATTTAAAATTAGCTTTGTTATCAATGGTCAAAGTGGATAAACCTGAATGTGGATGAGTAACATGTCCTTGCAGAACATGATCATTTTCCATCCAGACAAGCAGATGTTCCTTTTAATCAAAGATCTGATGAAAGATCAGCGTGGCCTGTATACTTATAGAGGTGCAGATGTTTAAATGTATAGTCCGTGCATCTTGTACACTACAGCATTGTTGCCAAGGATCATTATTAATATTAAGGTTAGGTATATTCTTCAACACAACTTAATGCACTTTCTATGTTTTGTTTTATAAGGGATCCATGCTGCTTATGTTTAATCTGTATAGCTGATGGAGGGTGAAAGGAGAAGTTAGGACAAGTGTGCCATTATATCAAATAACAGTGCTGCTCATTGCGTATTTCGTAGGAACTGAGCAGTCTGCACTTTCATAATGTCAGAGAATTGGACAGTTATTTCCCATCCGTGAAAAGGGTAAAGAAATTTAATTAGAGATGTGTTGGTCAAGCTATGTTGCAATGTGGAAAAAGAAAAACAGACGCCTGGTGTTCTCATCAAGCTGCACATTAGCTGCTCTGTACTTTTCCTGTATGCTATATCATTTTAAAAACAAGAGTATATCAGGTTTCCAAAAACTGAACAAAGTGAAAACATCAGAAGATGGTGTCATCGCTTTGAAATAGCTGATGAGCTGTATATTTCCCAAAAGGCCCCCCTGTCCAGCAGCAGGAGGAGCAGATGGACTGTGGTGCCGCAACCCCTGACCCAAGCGATGATGCCACTTTGTCACAGGTAAACAAATGGTGTCAGACTGACAGGACGTTGTGATGTTACAATGTGCAATGTTCAATTTTTGTGTGTGTTTAGGATGGAATAAATGGAGAGGAGGACTTGAGCGAAGAGGAGAAGGTCAGACAGAAGGCAGAGCGACGCAAAGCCAAGAGGAAGGTAAGCAAGCAAATCCCTTAGAGATTGTGTTTTGTTATTATTTTTACAAATCTGATGGGTAAGTCGTGCATGTTTTTAAGTACTGCATCTGTTTCAGCGCCGTCGAAAACGTAAAAAGCAGGAACAGGTTAAGCAAAACGACAGTGCTGAACAGGTAACGGTCATTATTCCCTCTTGGAATGCACTCTACATCTTCCTTGACGTAATATATAGTTAAATATGTCAATGGTCACAAACATTAGGATGATGAAGAAGAGGATGGAGGTGCAGAGTCAGAGCTGGATGAAAGTGAGTCAGAAGCAGAAGCTGGTTTTGAGGAGGAGAAACAAAGCGTGCAAAAAGAAGAGAAAAAAGAGGCAAAGCCAGCAGCCTCAAACAAGTACGTTGCCACTCCAGTCATGGCTCCTTCAGGAATCAGAGGACATCAGAAGACCCAAGCCAGATCCACTGAAGAGGTGGGGGCACTGTACTAGTGTAATATGCATCTACGAATCCTCCATTGCTAATACTTTTAGCAGTTAGCCAACAAGGCTCAAGAGTATGAACAACTTGATGTTTGTTGAAAAAGCCTGCATGCTTGTAAGCCTGGATGGCACATGATCTGACAGCAGTGTTTGGCTTTCTGTGTCTCACAGGAGCCAGAGTGGGATGTGAGCAGTGCCTTCTTTGCTAATGCTGCTAGCCATATCAAACCCAAAGGATCAACTCGCAAGTCCAAAGAAAACAAGGAGAATGAGGCCAAAAGAGAGGTGAATGAATGGTGTATAGATAATGTAAGATGAGTGGATACAGCACGAGCTCTCTTGTCAAAACTGCCCAGTATTTTTCTTGTGGGAGCAATATGTCCCTCTGGCAGTTCCAAAGTCTGATGTGTGGAAAAGTGTACTCTGGACCATGAAAGCCTTTTTAAAGCAGCTGTTGATGCGCGCGTGCAAACTTTCATGAATATAAAGTGATGAAAATAAAATTTCCTTACAGACAAATGGAACTGACACCATGACCAAGAAGAGCGCGTCACTGACAGGTAAGGAACGATTTCTGCAAAGCACGGTACATAACCAGCATTTTAATAGCTTATTCATTGAAACAGAACCAAAGGCTTCAAGGACATTATTGATTACACATTCCTTTGTACAAGCATGTCAGCGTGCAGCATTGCGGTCAGTTGAGCCCCTGGGCTACTGTCTCACTAGAGAATTGTTTACAAGTCTTCTGTCTGTGCTGCAGAAAAAGGGATAAAGCTGGTGCAGGAGGGCCAATATGCACAAGCAGTCAGTATGTTTACAGAAGCCATCAAATGTGATCCAAATGATTACAGGTACATCTTTTGTTGTTATAATGACTAATTTATTACAATAGAATTTGAAAATCTTTCAGATACATGCAGCAGCGTAATCTTTTTGTATTTTCTTCAATAACATCCTGTAGGTTCTTTGGGAATCGTTCTTACTGCTATTACTGCTTGGAGCAGTACCCTCAGGCCCTGACGGATGCTGAACGCTCCATTCAGCTGGCTCCAGACTGGCCCAAAGGACACTTCCGCAAGGGCAGTGCTCTCATGGGTATGAAGGTGAGTGCAGGCTGCCTGTGGCCATGGAATATAACATGTAATCAAAGAAATGTCTCCTAAATAGCCTCATGCTGAATCCTGTGTAATACAATTAGCCTTTGCAAACCCCTTTGTGTTGGTCTTTGTGTGTGCTGCAGCGGTACAGTGAGGCAGAGAAGGCAATGGAGCAGGTGCTGAAACTGGACAAAGACTGTGAAGAGGCTGTCAATGACCTCCTTAACTGCAAAGTGCTACAGTTAATGGTAAATACAAACAAAGAGGCAAAGGTTTCTCTGGTAGGCGTGGTGGATGTGACTGAAAATAACCAGAGCTTCCTCTGAACTTTGTTTTTAGAGGAAACATTGGTCATCATTGGTTATTGGTCATCCTGATGTTTTTTTGGCTTTGTTGCTTTGATTGTGTTTTCATGGCTGCTAATTATTTTTCTGCCATTCTTTCCTCAGGAGCTTGGTTTTGAAGAAATGCAAAGTGTCCTACTGCTGGAGAAATGTTCCACTGTGCAGGCCGTTCTAGCTTCTTGTTCTGATGCTGCCAGAGGTAAGACCACATGTGAATATTTAATTAAAAAAAAACCCCCAGAAATGTCTCTTTGTAACTCTGGGGAACAGCAACGTATAGAATAAACTGCAGAAATCCTACAGCTTATTTGCTGTTTTCTATTACTGAAGTTGTTTTTTGTTTTGCAGCTGGGGTCCAAGATCCATCAGTTTTACAACCAGGGTATGTGACCATTTGTTTGTTCAATCAAATGTAGGGTTTAGTGGGGGGTTAGTAGCCAAACTTTTAGCTGAAATATATATATTTTAATGTGCATCAAAGCTGTGATTTAACTGCTTTCTTTCTCCCCTTTCTCTTAGAAGTCCTTGCCCATCGCTCTGGGTGGGAAATGTGACAACTGAGTTAACAGAGAAACATCTTTGGGACCTTTTTAAAATGTATGAATGAAAGTTCAGACCAGTCCAATTAAGCACAATGTTTCTATGCAGAAACACGAACATGTAGTATTTACCGAAGGTGGCTATTGACTTGTCTTGTCTGTTGACTGTCTTTGACTCTAGGTACGGTGAGATAGAGAGTATCCGTGTGCTGCATGAGAGATTCTGTGCCTTTGTCAACTTCAAGAATGCAAACATGGCTGCTCGTGCCATGGAAAAACTAAATGTAGGTACTTATTGTGTCTTCTCTCCTGATATTGTGTCTGGTTTTTAAGAACACTGTTAGGGGCTTAGAGTTGCTTGTATCGTTGCTGTCACAGGGTTATTGTATTGAGAACACACGTTTGGTGGTTCGCTATCCTGACCGTCGCACTCAGAGGGTCCTTCCCATTCCACTCAAGACTTGTCTCCCGGTCACACAGCAGGCGGGGGCTGCTGCTGGGTAAGATGCACTTCAGCTGCACTTTAAAAACTCCTAGGTCATTAAAGTCATACAACAGGATGCCAGTTTTATTTGCTTTTATAGCTAATATGCCTTTCCGGTGTCTCTCTGCCCAGACCTCGAAGACGTGGGCCAGTGAACGGAGACGAGTGCTACTTCTGGAGAACCACTGGCTGCCATTTCGGGGACAAATGTCGCTACAAACACATTCCTGAGCAGAAAGGCAAGGACAGGAAACCCTGGCAACCTTGAAATCAGTTTACACTATGCCTCAGTAGTGTACAGGAAACTGGGATGAACCGACTGTGCCAATGGAGCCGGTACTTGCTGGACCAGGGTCTCTGGGCTAAGAATAATTACTGTGGCAGAATGGACCAGAATAGTCAAAGCATCGAAGCCAGCACTGAGGCTGTAACTGAGGGATGGTAACACATGTGCCACCATGGAACGGGAACATTTAGGTTTTATTTTCAACCAGACTTAGTCGTACAAGATTATCCAGAGGGGAGCAACAAACTCGCCTGGTGTCATCTTTGTTTAAATGAACACCTTCATATTCTCAGCCCCTTCATGTCAACATGGTGATCTATTTCCATGTTAAAGGATACAACTTAACATCTTGAGCCTACAACATCAGTAGGAAGTGAAATTGCCTTGGTCCATTGCGGTAATGAAAGGACTTTCTGTTATCATGTTTGGGACCTTTTCTCTAGAAATTCCAACACAAAGCAGTGCTCCTCCCCATTTTAAAGAACGGTAAATTAACCTTTTGGTGCATGAACCATTTTAACAGTTGCGTGTGTAGCTGTTGTTCACAGCTGCTCACAACAGGCCACAGTTAATACTGGGGCTACTTGTCGTTCCTGTGCCAATATCAGCACATTGTCCACCAGACCAAAGACTTAGAAATGGGCGTACTTGACATTTCAGTACCTCCCCTATGCAGATTAGTTATTTTTTTAAGGTAATAAGCTACAGAGACCCATATGTGTGCCTTTATACTGTGCTATGTAGCCTTAGTTAAAATGATTTTACGTGGTAAATGGATCTAAAAGTCACAACTGGACTTGAAGGATTACAAAATTGTATATAATAACGGATTGATTAGGTGTATAATTCACTTCTTTTACCAATTGGCTGCCCTTGGAAAGACTGACTATGCTCGCTGCGTGTCTGTTCAGTTGTTATGACAAGTTAAAGTGTCCTTCAAAGCCATACCGGTAGGGTGTGGTCGAAGTAATAGCAACACCTGACAGTATTATGCAATCCAGTAAAGTAGAAATGCTTTTGTTAAGGCTGTAGCGCTCAGTTTTTGGTGAGTCTGTGTCCAAGAGGTATTGTTTTATATTTAGGACAATTCTGAAGCCATCATTTTTGGCTTTGATCTTCTGGATGGCATGAAGTTTCCAACCCACCGTATTTCCAGCATGTCAGATTTTGTTGTTTTGTCAAAGCTCCTAGAATCACAAGTTGTCCTTTGATTGACCTTTTTCCACTTAATTTTGTTTTATTTTGTGACTTGAGTCTCATTTTTACTTGCTGTTTGGTTAAGGTTAGGTACCAAAACTACTTGGTTAAGGTTGGAAAAGGTCGTGGTTTGGGTTAAATACACCCTTTCACAGCATTAATCATGTGTTACAATGCAAACTTCTTGTAACCCGAGAAGGTGACACCACCAGACAACATTTGGCTGTGGACTCATCTATTTCTGACATTCAGGGATTTTTATAGGTCTATCAAACTACCCCATACGTTAACAAGTGACGATAAAAGGTACCTAGCACGTTCAAATGTGTCGTCAAAGGGACCTGAAAAAGTGGCAATACGTAAAGAGTTGGTTATGAGACCAGACTCAAATATCAGGTGTGAAGTGCTTCTCCCTGCTTTGTGGACTGTAGGAGAGCTAGTTACAGCACTGATCTGTTTGCCCAACTCACATGAAGAGCCTTCGTAAGTGTTTATCTCAGCATTAGAATATTAATCATGATTTCTCGACACATTTGCGTTGTAAACATCAAAGTGCTTTGTGTCTATGCAAAAGAAAAGTACCGAAATGTTTGTCAGTTTTGTGTCAGACGTACTCACACCTCCCACCTTTGACAGTCAATCACGTGCACTCACATTCACAGCAATGTGTTTAAAATAATACACTTCCATTTTTTGACCCTTGAGAAGCAGTGTTTATGACCGTAAGGGCCTCCATTTCAGTATTTCAGTGAACTGAAGAATCTAATGGCTCTGCATTGAAAACCACCTCATTCTTTCAAGAGTTTCAACACTAGACAGTGCATTAAAGCCCATTGGCATGTGTTTGTATCATCCACTAGACAACAATTCCAGCTGGTTTAAGTCCACACTACATTCACTTGTAAACTATGCACAGCATAGTGAAAGTATTTATTTTCCTATTTATACATGTTTTTTTTCTATTTCTTTTTTTACAACATACCTGGGAACTGAATTCACCTTTTAATTTACGATTCATTTTGTCTTTTCACTTTATGGTAAGTTATAGTCATGTACTGCAAATCAGAACTCCCCCCCCTCCTCCTTTCTGTTTCCTTTTTAAGCTTTAAGAGTCCTAAATTACTAAGAACTGTTGCAAACACTGTCACATGCTGCACTTCTGCTTTTCTTGTATTACTTTCTGCCTTGTGGCTAAAACTTGTGAAAAAAAAAGGAATTAGACACCAAACCTAAAGGCTGCACTTGCTGATTTAACATACTCGCTTTGTTCTTAGATGACTGGTGCTGTTAACTATGGTTTCACAGTGCATTTAATTTTGTAGACTTTTTAAATGTCTTTTATTTTAACACGGCATATTTTTAAAAAAAAACAATTTCATTGAGCAAAACTTTCAAATTCTACCGACATTTTCCCTTCAATGTTTGTCATTTGGTTTGTTTTAGTCTCTTTATCCCGTTTCAAACTATTCCAGGAAAATGTATTTCTAATTATGATGTATGCATTTATAACCAGAGCACTGCAATCCTATTAATCTCAAATATTTTGTATTGTTACTGCACTGCAAAAAAAAGAGTCTTTTATATTTAATAAACATATTTGAACCATCTATACTATGTCTGTCTGAGTCTTAGTATGTGTTAGGTGTGCGGTTATTTTGCTAATAAGTCCTGAACATGAACCTTCTGGCATTGGTATGTGCTTCTCCTGCCTTCCACAAGATGGCAGAGTTGTTCTTGAAAGGTTTACACTGAACTATGTCACCAACTTAGCTATCCCAAGAATTGCATACATTCTTCTTTTTCTGTTACCAGAAACCAAGATGCGCCTTTAACTCATTTCTGATGCACAAAACCCTGACATAATATGAAAAAGATCTGGCGGGTGTGTGAAGAAATGCAGTAACCCTGTGATCACTAGTAGAAGACACGCGTGTGGGTAGCATTAAAGATGCACTGGGGAATCTGTAACCACCCAGACCAAGGGGAGATGGAAGCAGCGCTGAGAATGTGTGGGAAACGCAACCATTATGCAACAGATGCCATTTTAAATAGAGAGTAACTGAGCCATGATGCCACCTGCAAATGCATGTGTGATCTAAGTGAGAGACTGCAATATGCTGCAAAATTAAAGGGGCAGCCCACATATATATATATAAATTAAGCTTGGTCTACTCATCAAATGAGTACTACTCAACTTGTGAAAACCGTTGTATAATGGCTTCCACAGTTATAAAACTAACCCCAGTAATGTCATCAGGAATCAATCAGCTTTGGCCAAGGACTTAAAAATTTCAAGAAAGGGAAAGTGGAAGCGTGAGAAAATTAGCTTGGCTCAGACTAGAGCTTAACTTTATTTTAAATTCCCCAGAATATGGGAATGTGCAACACCAAAGTGGAAGAGTGCCACTTTAAAACTGCATCTAATGAGGATTTTCAATCATATATCAGACTCAAGTGAAACATATACACTGGCACATTCAAAATCAATTTTATATCATTTTACCCTACGGTGAACCTTCAGGTTCAGGCAAACATGGCCTTCGATGCTACATCTCATGAGGTCATGCACTATGTAGCTCTTCACTCTCAACCCCACACTCCATACAGCACATCTTCCACAAAGTATGAGCCTACATGCTCCTATAGCCAGTTAAAAGTAAAAGCATTATGAAAGCCTGGAGAGACGGCAGTGGGGGTGAGCATGAGGAGGTGCTGTCGTTTGAAAAGGCACTTGTTTATTGTTGGAGAGCATGTATTTATTTCATGCCTCCACAGATTGTGGGTAAGGGCAGAGCCGGCTCGGTCGGTGTAATTAGAGAGGTGGAGAGAGAGAGAGAGCGCTCTGCCACAGAGACCTGCTTTGCTCAGATGCTCTTAGCCCTATGAGCTCTCTGAGAGCTTGTACTCTCACTAGCACACACCCCCACGGAGCTGTAAAAGTATTTGCATTCAGGCAGGGACACCTGTCTAGTCTAGTTTAATTAGTCTGATATGCAACAGTGCATCATAAATCATAATGGAGGGAAGTCACACACAGCAAGGATAGTTTTAGTTTTTAACCTTAGCGCCTCTTGTTTCCTTTTGCTTTTTTTTCTCGCGTCTCCCCGTTGGCCTTGGAGATCCCTCTGATTTGGCCCCGCTAATAGGGGGTCTGCTCTTCCTGTTCGGGTTTACCAGCCAGGGAGGGACCACCATCCTGCCACCCAGTCGCACCATCGCTGGCACACACAAACATGTCAATTACAGCTTCAAAGGTTGCATGTGCACACACGAATACACACGTTTATGTACCTTGTGATTCCTTTTCGACCCTGCTGCAAATCTGCATACAGCTAAGTGTTTTTACGGTTGCGGGTGATGTTTTGGTTCCTCCTCCCCTGTCATAATTGTAATTTTTCATGTCTAAGAATAAACCTCGCTGCCTTCGAAAGGTGCCCACTGAGGTTTACTTGAAAACTGAAATACAGTTTATCAACACAACACCCTGGGGCCAAAAATTTCCACGTAGCTAAATTTGTCCCAAATCCTCCCAAAATTACCCAAAAAATAAATAAACAAGTTCCGAACATGTGGAAAGGCCTCAAGTGACCCTTCTCAAAAGCCATGAACAGGATTTTTTCCTTGTTTATTTTATGTGGATCTACGCTGAGGAGTTAAATCTTTATGCTCTCTACACCACGATGATAGGTTAGACTATAGCAACATACTCCTGGGCCAGGGTGGTATGGCACATTCTCATCAGTCACGTTCACCATGGCTACGGTGAGGCTGGGCCTATTTTAGAGTTGGTGGTTTGCGGCCATCTCAACAAGGAAATATCTACCCTGTGGTATAGGGAGCTTCTTTAAGACACTTGGAACTTGATGTTTGAAACTATTCTGGAACCAGAGTCCTTCCTGTTGGTTACATTTACACACGTTTACCCTGAAGTTGTGTAAGGATGCAGTTAGGTAAAGCGTCGTCAGCCTATCAGAGGAGAGATGAGTAAAGAGGCACAAATGTGAGAGAAGGAAAAAAAAAAAAAGTCCCTTGATTTAATAATGAAAATGAATTTCACAAAGTATTAAGTCCATTTCTGCAAAAGTATTGAACTTCCCATCTTGAAATTAATGAGTCTTGTGGGCTGTTGGAGACTAATTTCTGAAACATTCGCCGTCTGATTCATTTATCTGTGAAGAACAACTACCCAATATTTCATCCCATTGCCCATTCGGCAGTGCTTAAAAGTATTCACCCGCTGTTACACAAATGTCTGCTAGAAAGAAACACACAATATGTTAAAATGAGAAATCAGTGCAGGGAACCCACTTTGTTTGATATTTTTAGAATTTATAGGGACGCTGTTGCCAGATTACGCAGACAATTAGGTTGGAATTTAATATGGCAGCTTTACATTTTAACACTTTATGTTAGTCTCTTTCTTTCTATATGAAAGAAAGGGACCAAGAGAGAAAGACTGCACAGGAGGAGGGAGGCAGTGAGGGAGGCAGGGAGGGATATATGGAGAAGGAGGGAAGAAGGCAGGATTGACTAAGGAGAGCACTTAGTAGACACACTCCTTCACTCAGTCACGCTCCCCTTTGCCAGTGACATCCACCACTGCAACATTTGCTGCCTGCTAGGTGAGTGAACTTTAACCTTATCTTCTCTTTGTGCATTTTTCTTTCTCCATTATATCACTTTCATGTGATTTTTTATTATCTATTAATTTGTTTTTATATTGAGAGGGAGTGTAACAGGTGTTTTAAGGACATATGACATGTAGGCACAGGTTGCTTTAGTATTCTATGGATTATTTTTCTGAGAGGAGATGCATTTAAAATATAATTCAGCTAGAGTACTCCATAAATCAAATGTTCGCTGAAAATATTTTCCAGTTCTAAGTTATGTAAGATTATGTTACAGCACATAGGCTGCATACAATACAATTTACGAAAGTTTAGCGTGTAGCTACTTGTTTATGGTTTGCTCTTTTATAATTATATCACCAGACTAGACAAACATATTTTGTATATTCTGTGCTCAGTGTGGTCCTGTGGCCTGCAGTGATTTAATGTTTCAGCATCTGTCTCCACCGCTGTGTTCTTGTTTGGCTGTGACACTTGTTAACCTCCAGTTAAAAACCTGCCTCATGTTTCTGTCTAGGCAGCTAGCCTCAGGGAGAGGTTTATTCAGGTGAACTGCCATACAGAAGCGCGCTGGTGTATCCGTAATTATATGGTTGACACGAGCGAAAAGTATTCATTTTATGTATTTTGGCTTCAGTTGCATCACTGCAAGATTGATGCTGCAGCAGTGACTAAAACCAAATGTGGGACTGCAAAAAAAACAAAATCAAGCTGTATCTCCCTGAGTGTCACCAGATAAGCTGCCAGTGTAATGGTAACTGTCTCAGAGAATGATTCACTTCATGATAACAGTGAAGAGCACGTATGGCTGGAGCTGCTCAGAATACCTAAATTATTTCGTCCAGAGGATGTCACCGTTGGTCTGTTTAATAACCAGGCCTCTTTTACTCCATGTTGGCTGGCTGTTTGACTTGTGTTAAAGGGAATTACTCGGTCTTTACGCACGGTATTTTAAGTCTCAAGATAAACCCAGGGTTGATGTTAGGTGTTTCTCATTACAGCCTACAGTGAACGCCTGTAGCTTGAAAATGGCTGCTTAGCTCACAAACAAGCTTAAGGGCTTTACTGGATAATTTCAAATGAGTCTCATAATTGAACAGAACTGACAACAATGAGTGTCATAATTTAACAAACAAACAAACTGAGCTGTGTCTCCATCTTTACCTGCAGACCTCTTCCTCCTCCTCTCCTCCTTCTCCCAGTCAAGATGACCCGCACCTCCTGCTTGAGCTTCCTCCCCCTCCTCATCCTCGCTCTCGCGCTGCTGTCGCTCTCCGGCCCCGCTCGCGCTGAACCTCGTAGAACTACGTCATCTCAGCGCAGAGCGGCCCGCGCGCCCGCCGCCAAGGTGCGTCTGGCGGGCAACTATGCGCGAGAGGCGCACGAAGGGCGCGTGGAGGTGCTGCACAACAACACCTGGGGGACCGTGTGCGACGACGAGGTGGACATCAAGCTGGCCAATGTGGTGTGCCGAGAGCTGGGCTTCCAGGGCGGCGTCACCTGGGCTCACAGCGCCAAGTATGGAGAAGGAGCGGGTGAGAGCACTCTGCTGTACTAAGATGACATTTAGTAGGTAGAAGAAAGGTCAAATGTCGCCATTTTCTTGTCTGCAGAACCACAACCTTAACATTTAGAGTGTAGCCTAATTGATTCAGTCAGTTTAGTTGTAGGCCTTCACAATAGGGATAAACGGATATGGGTTTTAAGGGGCTGACACTGATGCCAATTATTGGTAATCAATAAAGACTGATTACAGATATTTGTAATGTTTTACAGCATGTGATAGCAGCAAACCTGGCTTCTTCATTAATTAGTGTGACTATAACTGAATCTGTAAAATAGAATTAGGAGTAAACAATTAGGACACTCATTTTGAAAATCTTTAACTGTTCTGTTATGGCCCACTAAGGTCCATATCTTAAAGTGTCATAACTGGAGTCTGTCACAGGGTCATTTGTGGCTGCCCTCTAACTTGGCCGCTAACCATTAGCATAGCCTTAGCCACTGTGAGAATAACTGACTTTCTGGTTTGTGGCAAGGGCTTGTGCTTCTTATTGAGTTTTTGCAGTCTCTACTTGAGAGACATTTTAGAGACCACAGAGTGACTAAAGACAGAGAAAGATGAGAAAGATGGACCTGAAGTAGTTAACTTAATTTATCAATAATCAGTCAATCATAATACTGCTAATGATGATGGGAAAATGCCAAACATTGGCCGCGATAATCGGTCAGGCCGATAATGAGTCTATCCCTACTCCACAGCAAAGCTAGTGTTTATGCTGGCTAACTGACACATTGGACTGGAACAGAACCCACATTAATTATATTAATTACACTTGTGCTTTTTTCCTGCAAGTCATGAAAAGGTCAATTAGCTTAACAGAAGCAATTACTACATTTCGGATGTCCTAGAGTGACATGCAGCCATGTTGGACCACTTTATCCCAAAGCTTTCAGTGTGCTTGGTGTATGGCTTCATGAGAAGACCACCAATTAAGACATCCAAAATAACTAACATCATAAAGTGACAAAGATAACTTGTTGTGGGATTGGAATTTACATCTTGTTAAGGTCGCCTGGCAGGCCGGCAGAGCAAATATATGGGCCGAAAAAGGGCATTTGTTTTAGAATAATGACAGCATTCGCTTGCCAGAGTTGTGCAACACTTGCCGTGGTTTATGGACATTCTTTACTGCTGCTTTTAAATCCAAATTAAAGAGAAGGTTGAGTGGATTCAGGGAACAGGATCTACAGCACCCTGCCTTGTAAAATGCTGTGTATCTACTGCTAAACACGCCGCTAAGGTGCAACCCTAAATCAGCGTGCCAGTAAAAGTCAAGTGTTAGGTGTTTAGGAACTGATCTGAGCTGTTGTGTGAAAGCATTGCTCAGTCTGTCTATTGAACAATCAATGAAAATCCCAATGAATAAAGTAATGATTATTTATTCTTCCATAAGGCCCAATATGGATGGATAATGTGCGCTGTGACGGCTCAGAGAAGTCCGTGAAGGACTGCAAACACAACGGTTGGGGCGTGAATGACTGCAAGCACTCTGAAGACTTGGGGGTCGTGTGCACCCCTGAGCGTAGACTGGACCAATCGGCCAGCAGAAGCCAGACCACTGCTGCCAGGCCTAATGGCAGCCCGGCACCACAGTGGCAGGGCCAGGTGGCCACCCGCAGGCATCCAGGATACGGATATTATGGAAATGGACATCCATATGAGGTCCCCAGGTTCCAAAGACACCACCACCACTACCAGGTACAGCAGTTCACATCTGGTAAATCTGTGGGTTATTGTTAGAAAGATATGTAATAGTAGGTGTGATGTCCATCTTTCACAAGGGTAACAGTAAGGTGCGAATTGAGGAGGTCCGTCTTCGTCCCATCCTCATGGCTACCAAGAAAAAGAGCCTTGTCACAGAGGGTGTCGTGGAGGTGAAGCATGCTGGGAGATGGAGGCAAGTTTGTGACCTGGGTTGGAGTCTCAACAGCAGCCGTGTTGTGTGCGGGATGCTCGGCTTTCCAGAAGCTACTCAGCACAACGCCAAAACATACAAGTGAGTAAGACTCTTTCTTGCTAGCGGCACTGAAAGCAACACAGTTTAACTTTATGAAGTCAAGTTGTTAGATTACAGAACACTGGGCAACTGACTGTGGTTCAGAAGGGCAACACGCTGTGTCATTCATCCCATAGTTGCATGAATAAAAACACACACTGAAGAATAAAAAACAGCAGTGGCATCCCATTTAGAGCCAGTTTGAGTAAAGGGCTTGCACTGGGCTTATCTTCTTCCCCCAGCCGATTCTCCCCTGTGTCCCCCTTTACTGCCCCTCCCTTCCTCAGGCTCAGGATGATGATAAAGGGATCCCTGTCCCTTCTCTACTGCCCTTTCTCTACACCTCTCTCCAGGCAAATCACCTCTGCATACCTCATTGCCTCTCTCTCACTCTCTCTCCCTCTGATGCTATCTTCAGCCTGCAGCTCTCAGACAAACAGCCCCACTTTAACTTTTAGATTCCCATGCTGAGGTGTAATATCACTGCTGATTGTGCTTTAACTGTCCCATCGATACCATGTGTGAGACAGAGGTAGCTATTGGAGAGCGGGGATGTGAATCTGGAGAGACTTGTCTTATTGGCAGGGTGGCCTCTGCAGCGTTGAGTCAACTGTGCATTTCTTCACTTTTACATCCCACCCTAACAACAGCATGTGTGGCATGCTGCCAACTTGTGTGTATGTGTATGCATATGTACTACAGCTGGGTATCATTTGAAGTTTTTTGATACATTTGTTAAAGTTTGGTATCAAAACAGTAACACTTAAGTGCGTTACTTTAGGTAGCATCAAAATATATACAGTGTGCATTTAACAAAATAAGCCAAAACTCTCACATTTATTGATGTTAAATTTAATTTAAGTAGACATACAAGTATCTTCTCTCAATAAAGTACAAATGAATTGGGAAACATGTGATTAAAGCCTAGAAGTAGCACATTAAAGAATAGGTAAATATGAATTCAGTCCCCAGTTTTGGCATTTTTACACATTTCAATATGAACTGAAACAGAACCATTCCAGTACAAACCTAAAGAATAACTGTTATTTGCTTTGTTAAATAAGATTAATTCCAGTCTGGTGCCTGCTGTTGAAGAATTAACATTATAGGTGGATTTAGCAGCAGTTAGCTTAGCTTAGCATAAAGACTAGAAGTGGGGAAACAAATTTATGCTATGCTAAGCTAAACAGCTGCTGGTTCCCAACTACATGCAACAGATACAAGAGGAGTACCAAACGTCTCATCTAACTTTTGAAATGAATCCAATTAAGCGTGTTTTCATAAATGTGGTATTGATCACCTCTGAAAGTGATGAGGTTCAATACCAGGCCAAACATGTGCATACTTTCAAGCTCACACTGCTCCAGGCGTGTGCTTAATGCATTGTATTTAGGTGTCTCCTTCTGCCCCACTGGCTCAGAGCTACACTTCCTCTCTGCCTGCTGAAAAAAAAAACACTGACAGCGGTTTTTGGGAAGGTTCTGCTCTTAAACCACAGGAGGACCACACATTAGCACAGAATTACTCCAGTGCTATTTTAGGAATGAAAAGTGTCTGACCATCAGTGGAAGGGGGACCCAGTTGGATCATGCTCCTGGAGAGCTGCCTGCTATAGGTGATTCACAGTTCAGCTATTCCTCCTCTCTCTTGGCCTGACTTCATCTGACTCAACCGGCGACAGACCGCAACATCTGCTCTGTACTGTAGGTGCTAGATTCCTCTTGCTGCTGAGAGGCTGTAACTGTTGAAGGGGAACCTTATTTGTTTTATAGACTTTTCTAACTTTTTATTGACTTTATGAACTGTCCCTATTGGAGCACACTCACTCGCTCAAAGTATTTCTGCATTGCCCTTGAATTAAGCTATCTCTGTTGGAGCTGCTTGTTATTGGGAACGCAGTGAACCTACGACTGGATTCTATTGTTCTAGGAGGGAATAATCTGACGTCATATCTTTAGTAATAAAAGGCCCTCAGACTAAGCTGTCATTGAACAGGCCAGAGTGATGCTGTACACGGCCTGAACAGGATCATTTATTAGAGCACAGCTTACCCGCATTGCAGGTGTGATGCTTTTCACTCATTTGCTTGATTTTCTATCGCAGTATAGATTCAACGGCACAGATGCAGAAAAGTAGGAGATGAGAAGTGCAAGTGCCAGTTGTAGGAGGAATTAGATGAATAGGTTTGTATGGCTGCATAACAAGAGATTTGGCTGCTCACCAAGAAGGCGGATATGACGGAGGAGGACAGGGCTGCTGTAGCTTGAAGGGCTTGGATTGAAGCCTTCAGGGAATCTGCTCACTGGCTGTTGTAAGATGTTGTTTTTAAATCTTCCTCTAAGGTCAGGAAAAAGAACTGAAATAATAGTAGTGCTCCTGCTCTTTTAGTCTCAGACCAAAGCCACAACAAAGTGGATAATACTGTTTGTACAAATGCACAATGAAATGTTGGGCACATGTATGCCAGTATGCAGATTTTTTATTTTGTTTTTTTATTGTATGTGTAAATTATATGGCTCTGGCATGGAAGCAGCTGTGACTTGCTACATGTTGGTCTGCCTGTCCTGGGTTTGACCTGGTGTTTTGCTGAAGCCTCAGGCGCTATACTGGTCTGAACCATGATGATGTGTTTGTTTCCAAATCTGTACCTGTTTTCTATCTACACAGATGCACATTTGTTCTTTCTTAACATGTGTTTTTGACCTTAAACTGCTTCAAAGTCTTAGCTGCCTACATGATATACACAGGTTTTTTTGTACTGCATTTGTTTTCTAAAATCAGGGCGGATTGTGATGAATTGTAAATCAGGATGTTTTGCTACAAATGTGATGTGAATATAGAACCGAACATAACAGCCAGGAGGCAGCTAATCCTCTTTGGGGAATTGTAAGGAATGCACTTTTGACTTGACTGAAATTGCTTGTTTGTGTTTTTGTCATTGCAAAATCTAAGCAGAGTCATAGAGAAACAACTGGCTTTCAGACAGTATGTTGAGCGTTCATGTAACATCTTCCACTTTACCAGTTGCCAGAAAACCATAGGTTTATATTGCAGGGTTTGACCAAATTTAGCCTGCGAGTTTACCCCCTATTTCTCCTCCTTACCAAAGACTCTCAGTCCATTCTTAGAAATCCTGGACCCTGCCATGTCTCGCAGCTTCTTGTGTCTCTTGGATGAAACTCTGAAGATGCTGTAATTACAAGTTGGTCAGGACCAAAGCTTTCCAGGGTTTATGCTGAGAGTGAAAAAACACCCCCAATTATAGCTGTGTGTGAGAGAGAGAGAGTTAGACGGAGTTGGCAAAGAAGGAGGAAGAGAGTAACAGCAGAAAGAGGAGATGGAGAGAAAGAACGAGAGCAGCAGTCAGACAAGCCAGATTTTCGCTTGCTCGTGTGAAATATGGCCAATTACAGCTGCAGTTTGCAGCCGGCCCGCTGTGTCAGCAGCTGTCTGTCTTCCTCTGTCACCATAGTGATTTCGGGACTTAACCGGCATTTTATGTTTAATTATGTTTCCGCTGAAATTTTCTTATGATGAGGGTATCATTTTCAGGCTTTTGGGTGACATTTTGGGTGACCCAATTTGGTTTTCCTGTCTGATGTCTATGTGATCTTCCTCACTGACCTTCTCTCTAATTTATTTCTCCATCTTTTAATTTGTGTATGCAGGCCGGTGGATATTTTTTGGTTTGGAACAGACTGTGGAAGCTGGCTTTAAAAACTGAGCGTAGTGATTTTTATCAGTTTGCTCTGGTCTCGGTGGAAATATCCAATAATATGTTTCAGCGTGGCCTTCTTTTTCACTTCTCTTCAGCCAAGTGTTAAGCTGATAACTTAAAAAGACATATTTTCAAGTATCTTAATTAGTGCTATATTCAACCAAATCTAAACTAGTCGATTGGCCTTGGGGTAAAAAAAACATATATGCACATTGTCTCTAGATGAACTACATTGGTCACAGTGCGTTCTACCTGCTAGCTTCAATAGTCTAAATGAATTTTAGGTTGGTATAAAGGGCTAGCATTTGCAGACTATAACAATCATCTTAACCAAGTTGTTTTGTACCGTAAAGATAACAGACTGTTGAGTGTGCGTCTGATTTTTGATTGAACCAGCTACATCAGCTCATGATCCCACCACAGGAACTAATGAAGACTATAACACTGACAAGTTGGCCTACTGTTTTCAAAGTTTAAACTCCACTTTTTCCATTTCAGTGAAATACAGCCATACCAACAACTTCATTGACATGGTGTTCAATAGTTTGGAGCTGGCCTCAGATGAACGTTCACTTACCAAGACAACCTAACAGTCTCCATTAGGTTGCATGAGTTCAAAGCTATGAAATTGAATTCATGCAATTTCTCAGGTCGTCCATTTGTGCTAGAACCAAAAACAATAGGTGGGTGCTGCAAGGCTGTTGATGTAGTACCAATAGAAACCCAACAAACAGTGACATTTTGTCCAACGGGTGAGTTTGGTCAGAAGACAGCTTGTCAATCAACCATAGAACCAACTGGAGACCCAACCCTAGTCTTAATTCCATCTAATGGACTGAATAAGGATCTTGTGAATGGTATTATATTTTAGCACATTTAGTATTTCTAATATAAGGAATAAATGGACAAATGTTGGTAGTTTTCACCAATTTTTATAGCAACAAATGGTTCTTTTTTTAAAATTTTTTTTTAAGAAAATGGTCAAATCAAAAGCTTATACAATTGTACCGTGACAGAATGTTCCCAAAGGTTTCTGTGTGCTCTGCAGCAAGAAGATGCTATTCCACCACCACATTTTTTTAATAGTTCAATTGATTTCTGTATATTTTTTTTTCAGGTTTTATTTTGGAAGCATTTTAAAGTTTAAATTAAAGTCTTAAACCTTTACACCTAGGTTAAGACCCATAAGTCAGGTCAGTGGGGATGATGAAACCCAAACAGTGGTGTAATGCTTGTTTTTTAACAGGCAGTTTGGACTCCCTATCATTAGCCTCAGTTTTTTTGGCTCCACAACAAGTGCTGAATACACTGTTTGGTTAAACAAGGCTGATGAATGCTATGGAGGTGAAAAACAACCTAATACCAGGGCTCATGCAGCTCATACTACCTGCTAATAATTATTTTCAACTAAGACTAATTGTTAATGATTAGATTTTATGTATTTAACACTGAAATTTAAGCATTTTATTGCCCTTGAATGAAGTTCAACATCAAAACAGTGCTGTAATTCAGTCAAATGAAAGACCTGGAGGTATCATTTATAGCCCGTGTAGTAGCCCTGTTGGTTTCTGAAGAGGGGAAAATGGTTAGCTGATTTGTCTGTGGTGAGGTCACAAACAAGTCACAGACATGTTTGCCTCATGGGAAACTAAGTGTGCATGCTCCTCACCGTCTGTCCCATGGCACTGCGAAGCCACATGGTAGACACATTTAAGATATTTTACAAGCGTAATTGAAGACAGTGTAAAGACTGTAAAGAAGTTAAATTCTATACAGTGAGACAGTCACAGTTTACAGCAGGTCTCGTGACATCATGTGCAGCTTTATTTAGAGCCATGCACGGGATCTAAAAAGATGGTTTTTGGGTGTTTGTCTTCCTCACCAAGTCGCACGTCTGATATACTTTTCAAAGGTATCAGGCAAGGCTATTTAAGCAACTGAAATTTTATTTGCAGATGTTCATAATGCAAGGCCTGCATTTAACTCGTCAGAGCTGCATTTGTGTTTCAAATGAGCTGTAGAAACGACCTGTTTGAAGAGTGTGATTCCGAAATAACAGCTGCAAATTGCACAGCGCTATTTTCTAAATTATTGCTGTAATGAAAGTGTACTCTTTTGCCGAAAACTATTTTTAAGTACCTTCCCTTTCTAAATAGTGAAATACTTTTTGATGAGGGATTGTTTATATTTTTTAGTTAAAGAGCAGTGAGATCTCGTTGCTCCCTACAGCATCAGGAAACAAGTTATTATGTGATTCTGGAAAGTGTACAGTCAGCAGCCCACGACTTCACGCAACCATCAACATAACATCATGTCCCCCCGACAATGATTCTCTTGATTCCAACATCCTCAGTTTGTTTTTAAGGTTTGTGCCTTAACTTTACGGGAATGCCTGGAGTTTCATGCCAGAAATACAAATATTGACCAGCCTTTACATTCATACAAATATCCTTCGACATGTTTATTTCTTCAAAAGGGAATGCACTGAAATCAGCATTCGAGTATGTTGAGTGAACATTTCTTAAATAAGTCGGACGCCAAAGAAAAGACTGAAGACCATTTAGGCTTCGTGTACCTGTGACTGTGATGCCATGCTGATGCTCATTAAAATTCAACATGAAAAGATACCGTATGTGTTTTGCTATGTAAGGCTTTATGATGAAAGCCAGCTGTATAGCCCAACAAATAGGCCTTTCATTCTGGATCAAGGATTTAACAGGATTACTCTCTAAATTACGTAATCTATTTTTCCTAATTCATGAGCGCTAATTGTTTTGCCAATCAGCCAGCATTTATAGAACTATCAGTGTTTATCCATGTGTTTTATACCAACGCTGGCTAGTAAGTGGTTCTCTTAATTGTCAATCTGGTTGCAGCTTGCGTATCTGTTTTGGTGTAACTGATGAGTGTTGGTAATAGTGCATGCACTTTGCAGTGGTTTGAGGATGTCCTGACATGGTCTGTGTGGCATGTCTGCTCTGTGTGTCTGCCAAGAGAACAGAAGGCTTTCCTCTCCACCGCTCTCCCAAGTCCGCCAGCTGAGCTGGTGCATAAATCTCTTTGGTTCTGGCATTTCTTGGACATTGAGGGCAGTGTAGTGCCAGAGTTTTTGTTTGCATATCGTGCTTGGTCAAACCCTGTTTTCCCAGAAATGTTGTACATCACTGATGTTGAATGTCATGATTCTTTTTGGACTGGTTGTGGCTTTGGAGGGTAACAGCGGAGTTCAAAATATCTTGTGTTGTTCTTTTTTTTTTTTTATCTTGTACATCTGTGCATCCTGTAGTTATGTACAAAGCGCTTTTATACTGCAGTAAGCAATGCGTAAGTCTTTTATTCAAAGGATCTATATTAGTTTATTTAACCCAGTGAACCACAAGCAGTTACTGGGCATTTCTTTTTTGCTGCTGCTGTCACATTTTTCTCACTGTGGGTTCATTTTTGACTGCAAAATAAAGTCTGGGCTAGAAGTAGAGGGAACTCAGATGTGTTCTTTGCAGTATGGCACAGTTACAATGCCATAAATCATAAAAGCTGGAAAAAAAAAAGTTGAATTTCATTTATATGAATTTTTGCAAAAATACTTAGAATGTGAAATTGACATGGAAACATGTTGTGCCACAAGTGCTGTTTCCAATGCTGGGAGAAATGGTAACTCTACAAACTATATTATATGTTTTAACACTTAGATGTTTAGTTTTTTGTCCGTAGTTGTCTCAGTTAAACCTAAAAGTCCCCAAATTTTAGTTTTGTCACTGTTGGTCTTAGCTGAGTCACTAATGGCTTCACAGTTGTATCGGGGATGGTGGAAGATTTTGTTTTTTTGTTTGTTTGTTTGTTTTTTAACATAATTTGGTATCAGCAAACAGTTATTTTTTGGGGAAATTTCTAAATGAAACATATAGAATAAAGCAATTTTGATGAAATATCACAATTTTAAGCTTAGATTTGGTTTCCTGATGTAATGACATGCCTTCCAAACCTGTTGGCTGATTTTGGGATTTAGAGGGTTAATGTACAGGTGGATTTTGCTAAAATATCCCAGCACATTCCTGCCGAACACTCGAATGTTAGTAGGTACAGGAAATACTGTCGTGTTAAATCTCAGGAATCTACACTGGTCATTTCTCTAAACACAACATAACATAACACAATAAATACCAACAGCCCACATGTCAGATTGAAATACATGCTACTGAACCAATAAAACAAGAGCGAGAGATGGAACATGGAGCTGCTGAAAGAGAACAAGAACCCTACATTCTTCCTTCAACTTTACTAGTCGTTGCCATCAATATATCTAACTTTACACTCACCACAAAGCCACATGCACAGCTCATTCTGCTTTTATATACAGTAGCTATATTTGGAGCAGTATGATTCATTTTTAAGTACTTCAGTAAGATTAGTTCTCTAGTCGTCTGAGCAAGTGAGCGTCTGTGCTGCTGCTCGTTGTTGAAGAAATCCCTACTATGTGATCAGGCTACATAGAAAACAAACAGCAGATGCTACAGAATACCTTAGGGTCACTACCTTTTTGCAGAAGTTGCTCGCCCACGTTTTCATAAGTGTGTGTTTGCAGCCTTTAAAAATGTACAGACCTGATAGAGCTAACAACCATTTCTGTTCTTTTACAGGAAAATATGGGATACAAAGGTGGCAGATCCTTCAACAAGGTATTACAAAGACATTCTGGGTTTCTACGGGAGACATATGGGAACATCATTTAAAAGCCTTTTGCTTATTTAACTGTGATCAAACCAAATCCACACAGTCTTAAAGAAACAGATTAGCCTCATTAGTTTTTGAACATTAAACACCTAATAAACAATAAAAAAGAATGATTTTTCTGTACTTGATTGTTGCTGATTATCTTTGGGACTACTACCAGCTTAAAACTAAGTTGTCACTTACTTTTCCTTCTTTTTAGGTTGAGTGTCATGGCAAAGAAGAAGGGGTTCTGGGTAGAAAAAGTGAACTGTCTGGGTACTGAGAACAGCTTGTCGGAGTGCCACGCTCAGCTGTCAATCCCTCGTAGTCCGGCCCCCTGTAAGAACGGGAGACATGCAGTGGTCAAGTGCGTACCGGGACCTCAGTTCGCTCGCATCTCCTCAGGAAGACCCCAAGCTCCCTATCCAGTTGTGGTAAAATAAATAAAGTTACATCTACAATAGACAAATTGTACAGCGTGTGTGTGTGTAAACTAATTTACATTTCCTTTGTTGTCCTGTGCAGCCTGTGCGTCTGAAGGCAGGCCCCAGACTCGGCGAGGGGCGAGTGGAGGTGCTCCGGGACGGAAAATGGGGGACCATCGTAGATCACATGTGGGAAAGAACCGCAGCCAGCGTGGTGTGCAGGGAACTGGGCTTTGGTACTGCCAAGGACGCCCTCCATGGAGCCTTTATGGGTCAAGGTGAGAGAAAGAGAGGGAGAGCTCGGCACAGCACAGGCTTTCATATAACTTTACCTGGAGGTTCTGAAACACATTTAATCTGGTTGTTTTGAGTCTGCAGTTTGGCTGTTTGAGTGTGTTTATCATGCGTCATGGTATTCCAGAGAAGACAGAGAGACTATTCCAGCCTTTTGCTTATCGTTTGCTTATCTTAGACGCCGCACCCGTCTGCCCTGACTGATCAGATAATGTGTGGGCATGTGTGTTTGTCTGTCTGTCTGTCTGTGTATGTTACCTTGCGAAGCTGCAAATGTGTTGATTGCAGTATCTCCAGCTGTGATTATGTGAGTCCTGGGCCAGGGCTACCAGCTGCCCAAACACCATACACACGGTTGCGCTCACTCACACACAAAATGAAATACTATAAGCCACGTTGGTTTACATTGGCATTTGGCAACTAAAGCCAGAGACATAATCTTGGTAGATTCAAGCAAGCTTTTCATTCACTTACTGAGTGCTGTGGTCTTTTTCCTTCAATTTCAAATGTCCAGCTTCGGTGACACACACAAATCAGTCAGTATCCAGCTGTGCCAGTGGTGTCCCCACCCTTAAGAGATGTGAGAACGGTTTCTCCACGTCTGAGGCTAGGGTGTAGTCTCTAATCATGCTGATGGAGATGAAATGTGGGGTAATATTCTGCTGCTTTAGCTGTTCAGTTGATCAAGCAAAGCATATTTTTATATGCGTTGGATTAGTCCCTTTTACCTTTTAACCTCTTAAATTAGAATTTCTGTCGATAATGACATTCATGCTACTTTTCTTTTTGATGAGTCTAACAGAACTAAAACCTGGTTTTGCTGGTTCTCCTGAGGGGACTGTTGCACCAGTCTTTGGTTTTGATCAGTCATTTGGTCAGCGTCATTCCAACAGTCTGAGACAGACTTGTTTAAGATGTGAATTTTCTATTTAAAACGGTTTTTTTTCTGACCAAACCATGCATCTACTTTTGTGCTAGAGTTCAACTATGTCTTTCATTGTTCTGTATATAATATGCAGCCTCAGAATCAGCCAGTCCACAATAGAAAATGAGGATACTGGTTGATTGTTTAAGGTGGTTAGAATGACTTTGGGAAAGGGTCTATTTGACCCAAAATGTGATCTTTTTCGACCCTAACCAAGTAGTTTTAGTGCCTAAATGTTACCAAGTAGTTGGACTGCATCAACCTTATGAAACGCAACTTTAAAAACAAGGAATAATCACATCTAAAAATATCGGTCCCACACAGGTTACGAATCCCGATCTCCAGGGTGAAACATCTATGTTTGGTTCATAGTGGCTGTGGAGTAACCAGTGGAGGAAGCTCTCGAATATTGAGGAATTATCCTGACCTGAAAGTTAATTTTGCCCCTCTGTATGGTGTTTAGCTACTCAGCATGCAGGTAGGATAAGAGATTTAAACAGGTGGGAGATTTATTCTGATAAGCCAACACAAAGAGATAGTGCTGGTGCTTTAGCAGAACCATGAACCATGTCTTATTTTGGCATATCTGTTGTGACTTGGTTGATTTTTGTCAACAACTGCAAACTAAACACTTGGAGTAAATGTTCAAAAATGGGAATTAATGGTAAAAAACAATGTAAAATTTTAATTAAACACTTTTTAGCTAGTACGTGCATTTAAATTGGCATTGGAGTGTGAGTACATCAGCCTGTCTTATTTATAAATTAATTTGACAGCATTTGTCCAGAGGCACTTTAAACTGTATGAAAAGCTTCTTTGGTTCATTAAATCCCTGTAGCCATGCGAAGGCAGCAGGACAGACATGTTGAGAAATCTGAAGCATCCAATTTGAGAAGTACTGCACTACAGCACAGTGCAATTATGCTTGACCGTCCACTGTGTTTACCTCGAAAAAAGTATATTGAAAAAGGCACTAGGCTGTTACAGAAAAACCTCATACACTTCTACCCACATCAGACTAGTTGGTAGACACCATGTGTCATTGTGATTGGTTCAGCAGTGATGTGACAGGCTGAGAGTGTATTAATTAATCACCACGCCCTCCCATCTAAGTATAGCTTGTTTACACTTCACATATATGAAACAAAACATATATGAACTGAAATAGTAGCACGCTTAAAGACAACCACACTGTCCTTGTGGCCGGATACATCTCCTTGCCTTTGTTATTGTTCTTGTTCAGTCACAGTAGGGCCCATAAACACACTTGGATTTAGAAACTAACCTATATCATGTTTCTCCCAGACACAAACACGCATGTCTACCCACACAGAATCAGAACAATAATCTCCCTTAAACTGCCACTGCTGATAGACTTGACTTCAAAGTCCTCTCACAGCTTCCTCTCTATAACATGCAGCCTGTTATACATGTTACCGTGACATAGAATTTCAACACGGGCCTATCTGGTTTTGGAACGGGCCTACTTAGACCCTTTGATGGAACAAACTCTGACAGAGAAACACACCGGGAAAGAGAGAGTTGTTGAATATGTATTTTCTACAAATGCTTTATTTGCACACACGTATATCACGGTGGTGATGACGAGACGCACTGTTCTGTCAACACATGAGACAAAAACTCTGCGTGAATTCTATCAAATCTTTCTGTCATCACTGTTCTGTTTCAACAGGACCCCACAGGAGAGCACTACGTTATTTATGATGAGCCAACGTGATACAGATTGTGGTTGAGTGGCTAGTTGACTGCGGTGGGTTTATGCACAACTTAAATCATTTTTGCACTTTGCGAAGAGACAGATCAGATGACATGAAAGTTTTTGTTAGGCACAGAAGCAGACGTTCCGTGGAGAGAAAAACACAACACAGTGTTAGTGTGCCTAAAATGGAATGTAATTTCAGAGAAGAGAGGGACAGGGTTTCCCTTGCAACCACGAACCAACTATTTGGGCTATTCTCAACAAGAATGTGACTTATTTTCCCCTGTTTCCATCCTCTGAAGTCAATTTTCTAATCTGTCCAAATGATCTGTAGCATCTGCCAATTCTAATTACACAGTAATCAGGCTCGACCTGTTTCTTGTAAAAACTAAATTTAAGATACCACATTTATATTAAGCTTCATTATTGCTCTCATAGATGTATTCACTGTTAATCTTAGACATTTTACGCTGAAGTTCATCGTTTGATCGTTCTGGAAATCAACGTCGGGGAGAATGAAAGTGAAGAAGATATTTGGTTTAGTTCAGCCTCCCTCTGCCAACTCTCTAACTTCCATCATCACTACATTTATCATCACCATCAGTGAGCTAAATTACAGGGACAATGTTTCTATTTCCTTTCTCGACCAACATTGTTATTTTACTGTGTAATTTCGCCTGTGAAGTACATATCCATCGTGTGCATACATAAGGGAGTAAAACACCCTGAATGCCTGTGTGTATTTGTGTACATGTAAAGTGTGTGTGTGGCCGGTTTCTTGGAATTTATTTTGGGTTTCTGTGGATTACCCAAACTAAGGTTTAAATAGAGCATGTCACTGTTCATTTCGAGGATCCTCGAGTGGCCCCTGTGTTTGTCTTGATAACTTAAACAGTGCGAGTTTGGATCTAGTTTGTGGCCTTTACCGTGCAGATAGAGGCGGAAGTGGTTTAAATGTGTCTTTTTCATACATATGAACCCACGCATGGTGACCAGTATGGAAGCAGGCCTACAATCTACCAAAACCAACACAGAGACAGATTGGGTTAGGCTGCAATCTGGTTCTGACTATCTTCCTTTACGCCCTTTTTCTTGGTTTTTCTCTTTCCCACAGTTTTTGTGGCTTTGGTTGTGTTTATTTCCATTTTACCTCATTTGCAAGTTTGCAGTTTGTGTCTTTTGTTTTAAGAAAACACTGCAGCCATAGTTTGTTCTGTGTCTCATGTCCTCCCATCATTTTGCAACCAGCTGTTTGCTTTTGCAAAATCTTAATCTTTTTTCCATCGTCTTCTATGGCGTTGAGAGATTATCTGGCTTTAAAAACAACAAATACTGTGAAAGTCTTTTATTTTGTTGGCACAGATATGGCCTTGTTTGTTCACCCAGGGTGGCAGACTACACACAATGTTGTTGTTATTGTGCCGAAAGCAACAGAATAGTGGTAATGAGGTGTGACAGATGCCCAAAGTAGATGTTGGTGGTGCTGCTGCTTGGCTTGCAGGAGCATTTTGTCATGACAGATAGGGACTTTTCATTGTTGGTTTGATGCTAAAGTAGAGAAAGCTCATTCATGTGTGAGGAGTACAGAGCCTCAGTGTGTGTGCACGCTTCTTTGCGTGATAAATCTCCTAATGCCATTGTGTCTGCAGTGGGTGGCCCCAGACAGTCTTAAGAAACATTGCCCTTCCGCTATGTCCGTGCCCTTGTGGTTTCCATATTTCTTGCTTTATTTTTTGTCAGCGGAGTCTTTAAATCTGCCACATCTCTTCCACCCCATTTAGGTACGGGACCTATCCATATGAATAGTGTGCAGTGTATCGGCTCAGAGCGCTCCATCCTCGACTGCTACTTCCAGGAGGTCCAACCGTGGACGTTCAAACACAGCCAGGATTCCTCAGTGCGCTGCAACGTTCCCAAAACTGGCATCGAGAACACGGTATAAAAACTACAGAGTCACATGCCATACCATCTTGAGCTTTCACTGAAAACGCATGACCTCCTTAATCCCTGTAATCTTATGGATTTCCAGGTGCGGCTTGCTGGCGGTAGAGTCCCATCAGAAGGCCGCGTGGAGGTGTTGATGGAGGTTGGGGGTCGTAAGCGATGGGGCTCTATCTGTAGTGAGAACTGGGGCATCAACGAGGCCATGGTGGTATGCAGACAGCTTGGCCTGGGCTTCGCTGCCAGCGCTCATCAGGTAACAACCGAAACAACATGTCATTTTGACCTCTAACTGTAGTAGCATCAACTTTTCTCAAAGTCTGACAACAATGCAACACTCCCATTTCTAAACCAATTAGTGTAATTTTGACAGTGTCATACTAGAGTGGTCAGAGGCATTATTTCTCCAAGATTTGTCAAAATCCCATCAGCAGTGTCTGAGTTATTGATGAGAGAATGAAATGAACATCCATAGTCACAGCCCCTGTACCCACTGTGGTGGACAATGAGCTATGATGTCGCTCATTGATAGAAAACCTGACAAGCTCACCACGTCCTCTCCCCACACCCTTGCTTTGACAGGAGACCTGGTACTGGTCCGGTGACCCAAATGCAGGCGACGTGATTCTCAGTGGAACTCACTGCGTTGGCACAGAGCTTTCAATTCAACAGTGTCGTCGCAACAACCATGTCCATTGTCCTCGTGGCGGTGGAACTAAGGCGGCTGGAGTCAGCTGTTCGGACAGTAAGTTGACCCTCTTCCTGTAGCTCCACGTCTTCTCCTCTGATTCTGGTTGAATCCTGACTTAACCTCTCGTTCCTTCTTCAGCTGCACCTGACCTCGTTCTGGATGCCCAGCTGGTCCAGGAGACAGCCTACCTGGAAGACCGACCCCTCCACCTGCTGACCTGTGCCAACGAAGAGAACTGCCTATCTTCATCTGCTGCCAGGATGAACTGGCCTTATGGCCACCGACGCCTGCTGCGATTCTCCTCCCGCATCATGAACCTGGGTCGCTCCGATTTCCGGCCCAAAGCAACAAGAGAGAGCTGGACGTGGCACCAGTGTCACAGGTAGAGCAAGTCAGAGAAGAGTAAAGAGGAGATGTTGCGTAGCTTATGTGTGCAGGTTGCTGCAATGGAAAGAAGTTTTGAAAACACTTACTATATGTGGGATGTTGTGATTGCCTCTGTGGTCATTTTAAGTGTTTGGGGGAGAAACTGTGGTTTTGAGTGTCCTGGATTCAGATGTGGTATTCAGAGACTGTCAAAAATATTCTGACAAATACAAAATTGCTTGTAGGTGTAGTAATGACATAGCTTCTTCCACATTAAATAATTAGAGTTATATTTAATTTAATTGCATTCAATTGCTACCAGGAAAGAAAACATGCTTAAATGTGATCATTGTGCCAGCTGACACAAGGTTTGATGGGGGCGCTTGAGGCAGCATGCTACATTAAACATAAGAGCCCGTGCCTGTCACTGGGCCTCAGCAGCACTTAGTCGTAAATAGATGAAATATTGTTCTCAGGTATACTTTTCAGACTTTTTTTTTTTACCACTCAGTGTGAGTATTCTAGTTTCTTTTCCGATGACGAGGGCACTTTCAAAATGCCGTGTGAGGCCTACAGTGTCGATGTGTCCCAGTAAGGGACGGGTGGTCTGAAACAGTGTTGTCATCTCTCCAGATTCATTAGCCGCCCTGCAGCACGTGTCTGTGGAAATGACGGTTGAACAGGTCGCGTTACTACAGATCGAGCGTGATACAAAGGACAGGCTAGCCCGCGCGCAGTCCAGTCCGCCTCAGTTTATGACAACATATCAGAGCTGTGGATGTGAGTTTCAAAGCCCTCCATTCACTTAGAACGCGTAAACAGCTCAACCAAGCTGACGCTAAAACAAGCTTCTGTGAGAGGTGTTACGGTGACACCCACGCTCATGTTCAAGCAGTGAGGTCATTAGGATACGAGCCATAGGGAGCCAGTGTTCACTTAGTGTAAATGCACACACTCATAGACGCACACACACACACACACACACACTCTCACCTGGAGTTTCCCTCCTGTCGTCCCAGGCACTACCACAGCATCGAGGTGTTCACACATTACGACCTGCTGACTCTGAATGGCACGAGGGTTGCAGAGGGACACAAGGCCAGTTTCTGTCTGGAGGACACATACTGCCCTGATGGTAATGTTCAACACTATTCATGAGACCCAGTAAAATACTCTTTCCCATTAGTGACAGGAAATTAATATCAATGTTTCAGCCGCATTCAGATTTTTACTTTGTGGTTAATGTATTAGATCGCCGCTGTTGTTGTTTGTTCACTCTCCATTTACTTGTTTTATCATGGATGAAATAGCTCATATGAAAAAGACGGCGTTCATACAGTACGTAGTCTATCGCAATCCAGGAAGCTAAAGGCTCTTAAAAATAACAGGGAGTGCCAAGCATTAAATGAGCTTTGATGCTGTGATTGATAATGTTGTTGGTGTGTGTGCATATGTGCGTCAGGACTCCAGAAGAGGTTCTCCTGCTACAACATGGGTGATCAAGGCATTTCTGTGGGCTGCTGGGACACGTATCGCCACGATATCGACTGCCAGTGGGTTGATGTGACAGATGTGCGACCAGGAGACTACATCTTTCAGGTGAGAAGTCATTTAAGAGTTCTCACCTTTTGCAGTTTGGAAATATTTTTATGCCACAAAAATGAAACTTGCGTGTTTAAAGGAACCATTTAACAGGCTTTTCTGTCAAGACTACTTCTTAGGCAGGTTCAGTAACTACCGGCCAAGAAATATTCTTGCACAATGAACTGTGATATTTTTCCACATGTTTTGGATGGATTAAACCAACAAGATACAGCATGTGTGCTAATATAATATGATAATGAGCTCCAGAGGTGCTGGTAGGCTAGTTTGCCTCTCTTTGTTGTCTCTCTGCCAACATAAACTGACTCCTGGCTACAGCTTAATACTTTTGCATACAAGTATAAACTTTCAGCACGCAATCACCCATTTTCCCCCAAATGCTAAACTTTTCCCTAAAGACCAGACATTTAGGTAGCAAGGAGGAGGTTCAGAGGCTCTCAAGGTGGACTTCTTTATGGCTGGTTGAGGTTTCTGGTTCTATTTAAGTAAAACCGACTGACCTTCCTCATCACCGTCATCCCTTCAACCATTCCTCCGTCTGTCATTTCTTTGTCGAGTCGAGTCATTGTGGCTTGCAGACTAAAACACATCAAGGACTCCATCTCCCTTTATCCTTCATTTCCATTCAGACTTCTGATCCCAGCGTGGTATGCAGTAGTCTTCAGATCTTAGCATGCTGCCAATTACCTCCTAGCTGTGGGAGACTGGTTCCAGTGTAACTCACTGTTAGATAATTATTGCTGTTGCCCAGTTTGTCTGAGAGGTCACACTCAATCTTTGTAATTAACACGTCTCTCCTCTATATTGGAGACAGATTTATTTAATTTACTCATAATTGACGTGTCTCACATATATATAAATGCACGTCCCGACTGAGGACATGCATTTAAATATATATTTTGAGCGTGTAGAGTGGGGTATAATTATGAAGTGGTGCGTTGCTATAGCACAACGTGGAGGCAAAGAGACGGAATGAATGATAGACGAGGACAGAAATTGAGTTAACATAAATGAGAGAAAGAAATAGAAGAACTACTGAAGGTGAAAAGGTCAGTGTCTTTTGAGGCCCGTGCTGAAGGGACATAACCAAATTTAACTGAGCAGAAAAAGAAAGAAAATGGAGAGTAAGCCAAGCAGTAAGCCAGTTATTCACCAAGGCTGCAGAATTGGAAAAATACAAACAACTTTTACTGCAGCTCTCCTTGTCTCCGCTGTGTTCTTTCATTCATCTAGTAAAGTGCAGATGATGCCTGACTGTTCTGATCCTGAGCTTTACAGAAAGATTCAGTAGGCCTGCCCTTGAACCACCCAATGCTAATGAAACACACCAATTACCCAAATTAACTATTGCCTCCCTTTAGTCAAACAGCACCTAGTCCCCCCTTCCATTAGGAACGGCTAATTTGCCACCAAGGAATTCATCCTGCCCTGTTTTTATTTTTATAGCCACTTTCTCACTGAGCAACGCGTTCTGCTTCTAAACCAACCCTCTCCAAAAGCCTCCTGCGCTCTGATCCAACACTGTAATTTACACAGAAAAATTAAGAGACAGTTTTTTGTACATTCGCTGTGTTTTTTAAAAACTTTTCTCCCTTTTTTTTTTTTAGTGTAGTTTGCCTTCATTCTCCCTGAAGCTGTTTGTAACCTGTACTTAAAGTGGGTGTAGCAGTTTACAGAGCAGCTATTAGAGTAAATGACTTCTCAGTATTATCACCAGACCAGATTAGGAGAATGGTTGTATCAGCAGTTGCAGAGCAGCTCTGCAAATGACAGACTATTAGTACAGTGTATGGCAGCATAAGACAGATTTCAGACATATAAACATTCTTACGCATAACTACTCCGTTGCAGCATACCTCAATTTCAGGTTAATTCAGCTCTTATTATTCCAGTCCTATGTTGGTGTGAGGAGCAGAGCAGGAGCTTGGGGCCACGCTGTGGTACAACTACATTCCACGAACCTCCCCTGTAAAGTTACAGAAGCTCTTATGCAGCCAGTTACGCTGTTTTCTGTGGGCAGAAGTGTCTTTGTTACATGTTTTTGTACAAGTAATAATTTTTTTTTATTGTGGGCTTCCCTTAAAGATCTACCAGTAGGTTTCGTGCTTTGCGTAGCACATTGCTAAAGCACGTGTTTTACTGCCGCGTGTTGTTTAGTCCATACACTCAGCTGCGGACTACTAAGCAAACATCATTCCAGCATTAGGTCCATGAGAAACTACTGTATAGTGTATTTATCTTTACAAATAGGAATACTGTGTGGAAAAGTCATCCAGCTTTTTATAGATGAGAAACAGATTGACTATAAAAACAATACCAGCCACGAGTGCTGTTTAATAACAGGCCCTCTCACAATTTTACATCCAACTGCTCTTTATTCGAGATGGCTTTCCCAGCGTGGAGAGAGAAGCGGCTTAGTCCTTGTTTGCCCGAGAAGCTTTAGACACAGTGGCAATCAGGTGAAGCTAACATCGGAATGAGCGAGTCTTTGATTGTGTGTTTTTGTTTTGCAGGTGGAAGTTAACCCCTCCATGGACATGGCCGAGTCAGACTTCATGAACAACGTCATGAGATGTCGGTGCAAATACGATGGCCACAGAGCTTACATGTACGGATGTCATGCAGGTGAGAATAGAAATCCCCTTTCCTTCTTTTTGGTTCACCTTCTCTCCCATCATCTGACTGTAATGAAGTCATTTTTTTCCCCCTTTACAGGTGATGCATACAGCGCAGAGACTGAAGACCTGTTTGAACACCAGAGGCAAATTACCAACAACTTTGTGTAGCCTGTGCCAGGGTCCAGTACAAAGGCCTTCCAGCGGGGCCCAGAGACTACTCAGGGTGGGCTGAGGTCGATGGCCCCAGGCCCTTGGGACCTTAGGACCCAAATTAACAGAGAACACGCAAACCGGCGCCTGCTCATCTCCTTCGCAGATGTGGATAAAAGATTCATAAGCGCATCATGTCACAGCAGCGTTGGAGAGACTCTGATTTCAACTCAAACAGCCATCGAGAGTAAAACAGGCGCCGCGTGGTTCAATATGTTTTTGTATTTTTTAAAAACTCTAGTTAAATACGAAGATTTTGGACATAGATTGAAACTATACTGATTTTTGTGAATGTGGACTACTAGTAACTTAAATTAGTTATTCCAAACATATACGCACGAAAGACCTTAATGTCACCGCAACTAACCTGACACAGAGACGACAGGGAAGCCGGGACTGTTGCCCATTCCTGAACTGGAAGATCTGAAAAAAATGAGAAAAATAATCAGTGTTTCTTTGCGTACTTTTTGTCACAGAAGTCTGATTTGATGCACATGTTGCAAAAAGTAGCACAAATGGCTGTTTTGGCATGTTGATTTTTTCCAAATTCTTGACTGATATTCATGATTATTTGGCCTTTTTTGTTTTTTCTTTTTACATTACTTCAATACTGGTGCTCTTTAACAACAATACTGTATGTCGTTTATATTAACCTCACTATGTTTCAGGTGAACGGTGCTGTAAAGTACATTTGGGTGGTTTTCTTTTACAGTGAATTATTTACCTTATTATTGCTTTGGTTTTAACAAAATTATCGTTTTATACAAGTGTAGTTGAGCTTCTTGTCTAGAATAGATAAGAAGAGGTCTTTTTTTTTTTTTTAATGGAACAAAGCACTTTATCTTTTAAACAACAGTATTCTAGTTTTGTCCCCATTCGTTTCTTTATTTTCTTTTGAATTAGCCACCAAATCGACTAATTAGAGTGTTTATCAAAAAAACTGCTTTATTGTGTTTTACATTTCAGAAAGTGAAATATAAGGTTTATGTTTAGTTTTCATATTCAATGTGCTATTTATGCTTTATTACTTTATTTATTCATGACATTCACACTTACACAGCATGCTCAGCAAAGAGTTTGTTAGCTAGCGTTTAATTAAAAATGAATATTATTTTTCTGATGTAATTAACCAGGGAGAAAAAAGATTACTTCATACAGCAGTTACAGGACAAAGTAATAGAATGATCCCACAATGCAGATGAATAATAGCAGATTTATTTTATTTTACTTATTAAAACAACTGTAACTGTACAGTTTTTCTTCTCTCTCCCAGTCTTCTCTGATGGGAGGGAAAACTGGTGTGACAAAACCACAGTATTGTGGTAGGCAGGCAGGCTGGGTTTTGAGAACATATAAAAAGCCTTTTAATTACGTCTGTTTGGTTAGACTTAAGGTTACAGTTAAGATTGAGGCTATAGCATGTGCTTTATAAAGTAACACTATGGAACTGTTACGTATGTAATCAAGGGAAAGAGCGAGAATCTGGATTTGCATCTTCACACGAACTGCAAGATGGGTTCTGAGAGGTTTAGCGAGTGAGACGGCGGCTGGAAGGAAGAATGAGAACGTAAAACAGAAAGACAGAAAGAAAGAAAGAAAGGGACGAAGTTTGGCGAAAGACTTATGCAGACATACGCTTTTTACTACCAAAGCTGCCTTTTTGTTGGCAGTCATACAGAGACCACAAGCTGGCATTTTCAGCTCCCCAACGAGAACAACATGTTTGTCTGGGAGAAAAAAATAAACTCCTGTATTCATGCTTCAACAGTAAACAGTGGCCTTATTTTTTTTTTTTTTTTTTACTAAAGCTAGGCCTGCTAAAATATATCTTTCTACACTTTGCTGAATAAGTAAGTTGTAGCACACCAAACAATGATACAAGTCCATTTTCTTTACAACGTGGAACACATGTTAATGATGTTGCTTGACCCATTAATGTGTTTGATGTGTTTGGCTTATTGTCTTAGCGGTTAAACCTGTTAAGATGATTTTCTAATGGACAGTTTCCAGGACATGTTGTGGAAGGGACACGTCACTTATAAAGACATCTGCAGCCTTCATTTCTTTAGCAGATTGTCTTAATCCCCCAACAGGGCTTTTTTTTATGATTTTAACTCTACAAAGAGGGCTTGAAGATCATTTGTAGCTTTTGAGAATAACCTTTCATAAAACTGGCTAAGCACAGTGAGCTTTATTACTAAAAGTTAGTATTCATACATAGACCTGTCTAAATTAAATGTTTGCTAATATGCTTTTCTGTTATTTTGTGCTTGTGTACAGTTGTTTTTGACATATTGGTCTGTTCTGTGTGTTATTTAAAATAATATGCCATTCCATAGCCTAAGTTGGTTCATATTCATCATATTACTGTATTGGTACCCGCGCTACAACCGTAGCACTGGGATGTTGTTTTCTTTGGCCAGTTGTGTTTTAATTTTGTCTTTAAAGCTGAGAGTGTGATCTTCGTGGCGCTTATCTACAATCATATTCATAGAAAGCTGTGCTCTCAGGGACTTTGACCTCATCTAAAGAGTAAAAAAAATAACATTTCATGTGATGTGATTTTAGTTTGCTTTTAGCTGTGATGCATACACGATGACACCATATGAACTGGAGCTTCTTCTTTTTTTTTTTGTTCAGTAATCTGTACCCACATGTTTATTTTGCAGGTAAAAAATTTAAGGTATGAAGGTGATAAGCTTTGTTACATTTTTCCTTGAGGAAAGTTTGGATGACTGTGGGTAGACACTGGCTGAGTCAGACGCAAATTTCAGTTAAAGAACAAATCACAACCCGTTCATTCATCATTACTGTGAATCAATAAAACTTCATCACATACTAAGCTGTCCTCTGCTTCCTGCCTCCTTCTTGCTGTTAATGCATGACGCTGCAGAATATTTGTTGATGAGAAAGTGGCTCGGATTGTATGTTTCGTCTGCGAGAAGAAATGCAGCCTTTTCCCTCTACCTGCTCGGATATGGGAGTTATTTTACGGGAAGATCTGTCCAAACTGGTTACTCAGCCGCCCTGTATTCTTGGGTTTTTACAAGACTGGTGGGATACTGGAACTTTCTTACACAAGGTTTCCCCTAAAATGACTCGTCTGCCCAAAGACAACCCTTTCAAGCTGTTAGCTGCTGCGACTTAATCCTCTGCAAATACTGCCCCTCATGGGAACCGAGAAATCGCTTTACTATCCCAGTAACAAAAATACACAACAGTGCGCCGGAATTAATGACTAAATTCAAGCATATCAAATTTGGTCGAAGCGGGTGGAGTAATCGGCTATGTCTGGAAAGAAAATTTACTCTCGACAAAAGTCTGATTTGATCACAGCTGACAAATCCACCCAGAAAGAAAACAGCAGAGCTATGAAGTGGTCGCTCTCTGGGATGAAACAGCTGCTGGGCAAACAGGAAAGGAATACTTGAAAGCCGAGCACCTGGGTTCATGGAGTGTACTCACACACATTCAGCATCCTTTCATGCACTTTTAGCACACTGTATAAACACTCATGCAAGTGCACTTGTACTGTAAGCAAATATAATGAATGTCATTATTTTGACTTACTTTATATTTGGTTTTAAAATGTGCCCTTTGTATGCTGTTGAACTTTTAAACCAGACGAGATAAATCCGTTCGCTCCTTATGCAGGTTCACTTGTTCTCTGGAAACGTGACACTTAGGCAGAAAGGACCTAAATTATCTCATCAGGCCGGCAGACGTGAGATACTAGTGTCTAGAACATGCTCCGAGAGAACATGATTTTGTAAGTCAGAACTTGATTACATCTGGAGGAAGGCTCATTCTTGCACTGCGTGGACATGTGTGGACGTACATCTGGAGAGAAACCCAAGCAAAGTCTGTCGCTTTATCAAGATGAATTGGAACAGGAGAAAGAAAGAAAGAAAGAGTGGAGAAAATACGAGCATAATCCATTCATAAACACTCGGCCACGCAGTTCTCGTTTTATCCATACAGGCCCGCTTCCTGTTTGCAGCACGTGTTTTTATTCGGGAGGCCCCCTTTTGCCACCCCACCCTGACCCGATGGGGACCACAGACAGACCCACAATGGAGACTGTGTGTGCTCACTGAATGACAGACCTGTCCATACAAGCCCCCCCCGTCAGACACGCACACACACACACACTCTCACACACACATACAAACAACTGGACTGCATAACAAGTTTTGCCGTCATCTCTTTTGGAGGCAGTGTTCCATGCTTGGTAAGGCAGACAGACATGGCGAGGGATTTCTGTGATCGGACTTCAGATTATTCAGCAGGAATGTCTGAGAGGCAGCTTTTTGCCGTCACTTTTCATCACGTCTGGGGAGATGAACTGCTGCAGCATTATCTGTAAGAGGCTGATGAGAATGCTCATTAGTGTGTTTCCCACTTCTAATTGACAGTACAGTAGGCGAGCGTGTTTCCAGGCGCTCGTGGATCATAAGCGCAGCGACCACCTGACGTACAGGCCCCAGCTCATCACCTGGGAGTGTTAATATTTACAGATAAGAAGATGCTTCCCTGAATAATGAATGCATTTGCATAATTGTCCCATCCTGTTGAGGGAAAAACACATTATGGGACGCACTCAATTTCCATGTCAGGCCCTTTGAGAGAGTAAATGAATAGGCAGTGATATATAATGACTTGCAGAAGTAGAGAGAATGCCTCCTAATGAGTGTGATGCTTTTTCTTAGGTGCTAGTAAAAATTTCATCTGGCTCTCCGTGCGCTTACTGTATTGTTTGAGCGGATAAGTGAATTTGTCTTTATGTGAGTGCACGTTCCTGCTCACGTCCATAACCCCCCTCCCCCCCGAATCCCCTCCCCACCCCGGTCCTCTCCTCTACCCCGAGAGATTTACTGCAAAACAGCCTTGTGAGAGAGTACACATGCTCTGCCCAGTCTCTGTACTGCACCCTGACAATTACTGCTATATATACCACTCCAAATGAGAGCCATGAACCGGCGTGATTATAGGGTGGAGCAGGAGCAAAGAGGGAGAGGGGGAAAACGAAAAAAGTGAGGGCGAGTTGAAGAGAGAGAGAGAGAGCGAGGGGGAGGCAGCAAGACAGAGCGAAGGAGGGCGAGAGACAGCGCAGTCCGAAATGACTGAAGTCTGCTGCAAATTGTATTGTGCATTCGTCATAAATCACAGTGCTTATGACAAGCTACATTTTAGTATGAATCACTTCTTTTTCAAAATTGGGAAGTGGAGAGGGTCAGATTAAAGGGCTGAGAAGCATGCAGGGAACGAACAGCATCTTCTGGACTCTTTCTGCGCTGAAAGAGCCAAGATTGTGACCTCCGTCTGCATGCTCAG